TTGAGTATTGTAGTGTAATATTTGTTTTGACAACAGTGTCAGCTGTGAAGTCGATTCACTGTGACTCAGAGCTGCACAAAGGAACGTATTCATGAAAACCCCAGACCGCAGCAGGTTTGTTGTACCAGACGCTCCGTTCAGTCGTGTGTGTGTGTGTGTGTGTGATTTCCCAGTGATCATTCCAGATCAAAGAGCCTACACTGGTGTGAGGTTAGAAGACGCTTTCATGTCTGCTCTTAGTCTGCGTGGCACAACAAAAGGCACAGAACCGTACATTCTTTCTCTTTTCTATAATGTGGATCTTGGAGCTAAAATTTTTATTCACCGGGTTATGTTTTAAATAAATACACTGTATTTAATTAAAAAAAATAGAGGTAAGGTTAGGTCTAGGTCTTTGTATTTCTATGTATTTACATTTTCCAGAAGAAACCCTGACAATGTCCTTCTACAAACAATTCAGTCAATTGCCATTTAAAGAAATATAAATTTAAGTAAAATTAGATTTGTCTGCTACTGCTCCATCTTGGAGCAACTGAAATAAATAAACTAAAATAAAAAAAATTCCATAAAAAGATAAGCGGCCCAGTGGTAAATTTGCCTGTGTCAAGGTTATAATGAGTTCATGTTGAACTAAATAAGTGCACAGGTCAGCAGCAGGTACAAACGTTTCTGTACTGTACGTACCATGTGTCTGTGTTATTACAGCACTCCCGTAAACATGACATCTACGGTGCTGTCAAACAAACGTTCCTCAGTGCTGACAACAGTGGTAGAATCTGCCGCTCGGACGCCGTGACTGTGAGACTGAGGAATCGGAGGCACGCCACTCTCCGACCTCATTAAAAGACCATTATGAAACGAAACGCATCGTTTGAGTTGGTGGTTTTTGATTGACGAATGAAACATATAACATCATTTATCCATTAAACTAATTGATCTGCACAAACCTGATTATTCTGTTAGCTATAACACCATTAGTGGCTGTGGCTTTATGGAACATTTGAATGGCCTACACGCTGCACTTTCTTACTGTAAGTACTTTTTCTATCAGCGAAAAGGTCTCGTGTTGCTGATGAAAGCCCCGGGCCAACCCCCTCTCTGAGGCATTTGTTCATCTAACAAACGGCTGCAGGTTGTCATATCAATATAGCCAATAAGCTTACTTTAAAATGTAACTGAAATTCAATACTGTGATGCAGTGAGGACGCGCAGCGCGGTTCTCTGTCATCATCTGAGCCTGATGCAGACTGCAGTGTAGAGTGTAGAGATAACCAGGGCAGCTGTTACCCTGACTCTGGTCTCCACACTGGGAATGGCAGTTGATGACAATGTACTGACTCCAGGTCTGTGATCAATACCAATGGATATTAGTATCTAATCAATGGAAAGCAGTGGTGCAGTGTTAAGATCTCAGCCTGACACGAGAAGGTTTTGGATCAGTTACCAAATGAATGAAATGACTGGAGCACCAATATTCAACTTATCATTCAGCACCATCACTACTGCATGCAGTGAATGGCAGACAGCACATAGCTGTAGATTAGCTGTATGGTCTGTGACTAGATGTTTTAGAGTGATGTCAGCAGTTCAAGGTAGATTAGCTGTATGGTCTGTGACTAGCAGTTCAATGATTCTAGTGTCAAATCTCTGCCTGTATTTGCAAAAAAGCCCTAGAGTCTGTTTTGGTGTAGACTGTTCCTAAACTGAAGCCAATCATGGAGCATGCATGTGATGTCATCAAACAAATGCATCAATCAAATGTGTCTGTAGAATGTCATTTACTCACAGTTTCATTAACAATCTGAACACGATCGGCTCTCGATTCCTTTCACTAAAGGCTCAGTGTGGTTAGTATACAGTACATAACATGGAACTGACACTCATTAAGTGGTAACAGAACAACATCTTTCCTCAGCCAGGAACAACGGCACCTTAAACAGAGCCTACGGTCCTCTCCTTCTCATTGTATTAGTGAAAAGACCTTCTTTGTGGCTCCCGTTCGTTTGTTTGTACCTCTGTGATTCAATGATTACATGTTTACTTTTGTGTGTACACATCTGCCAATGAGGTGCGTTGGCGTCGCGTCTCCCACCCATCCGTGCAAATTCCTAGTGGCACAGCAGTCTGCCAGTGGCTGCGTGCAGTAGGCTGCACTGAGGCAGGCTGGGAATGGTGGGTGGAATTCCCTCTCTGAGATTTTCTGCAGCTGCAGGCAGATGTCTCCCCTCATCTGCGTCTTCACCTGAGGCCTAACGCCAGCGCCCACCCCTCGTCTTCCCTCGGCATCCCCAGAGGGGGAAGTGAATATGGAAATGGGGTCAGGAAGAAATGCCAGTACACCAAAACCAACTTAAAGTACCCAGGGGTGCCACAACCAGACAGACAAAAACAGCCTTTTGAAGAAAGGCTGCACAAAGAGACACATACTGTGGTGTGCTGACTCATGTGTGCACGGACACACTTGCCCACCGACATCTATATAGGTGCACACTGATGTAAAGCTCCTCCACTGAGGCAGCATCTGTGTCTCCCAGCTTGGCCCCGTACAGCTGCCTGGGTCACTCCAAGGTGTCAAGTGTCTCAGAGCCATTAAACACTAAGCAGCCCATTTGATTGCCCTGCACAAGTGCTCTTCAATAGCACACTTCACTTTCAGCTAACCTTCTGGTAGCAGCTCTCGTGGAGCCTTACATTTCTTGTTGGCGATAGAGATGAGAGGTGAGGGAAATAATGGGAGGGTGGAAGCAGCAGCCCCCCCGAGGGTCGGGGAAAATGGTGCAATCTTTTTCTTATCGCTCCTATAGAAACAACTCTGTTTTCTCTGTTTTCTACTATTTACTCTTCAAGACATAGTTTCTGCGAGTTAGTTGCTAGTCAAAAAAAAAGCAAAGACAAAAACAAATTTTCTCAGTTTCTAAGGGTTTCTAAAAATGAAATAAAAACATAAAATGAACCATTTGAATTAGAAAAGGTTAGATTAGATTAGATTAGATTAGATTAGATTAGATTAGATTCAACTCCATTGGCATTGCCCATGTTACAGATACAGAGCAACGGAGTGTAATTTTGAGTGCAATTCGTAAAAATAAGGTCGAAAAAGTCAAAGTTGTCTCCGAGGATGACATCAAAGGTCACACGAGTAACACTCTGACAGCTTCTTAGTTTAATTGTCAAAGTAACATCCGTCAAAAGCTTGTTCAACGCCAGCAGGGATGAACGAGGAAAAACACCACCTCAAAAGCTCAGCACAGAGTTGACTGTCGACTCTCAAACAACAGAGAGAAAAAACAGTTGAAGCTCCAACGACTAAAGCTTCTCCAGTAAATCGTAGGTCGGACTATCGGTACTGCCGTCTGTTTTCTTAGGCTCCTGCGTGGGCCGTCACAAACACATTTGTTGTTCAAGGAAACCAGTGAGACTACGGGAAGAACTGAACCAAAACAGACACAAAAAGATGTATTTTTAATAGTGGAATGTACTGATTGTTCCAGAGAATAGATGTTTTGTGTGAATTTTTCTAAAGAAATGGCTGCCTCATTTCCTTTTACCAAAAGATACCTTTTTTTGTATTGCGTAGGTCATATGTCAAACTCAAGGCCCGGGGACCAAATGTGGCCCGCCAAGGCATTTTGTTTAGCTCACGGGACCTGACCTAGGTTGAATTTTTGATTTACACAGGATCAGTTAAAGTTACAGTTTTACAGAGAAATAAAAAAAAATGTTTTGTGATTTTTTTTTCGAGCACACATGTCAAGCTGGTTCTATTTAAACACTTTTCAGTAACCACCTCGGCCCATGTGCTCTCTGTCAGCCAATTATCCGCTGCCTCTTTTGTGTGAACATCATGTAATTAAAAAGGAAGAAGCTGCAGAAATCATGTGTGAGCTGTTACTTCAGCAGCAAAACTTTTACCACCTGATGTCAGCTCAGAGTCACAGAGCCGAGGCAGAGGCAGCGGGAAGAAAGGGGAGTTATAAATAGGCCGTGTCTCTCCAGGATGGCAGGTTTTTAATTAACAATGAGGAACCACTGATAATCCACGGTTAATCCGGTGGAGAAGTGGAAAGAAAAGGAGAGAAGTCATCTGCTGTTTAATGTCAGGACTTCTCACTCCTCCACTGGCTGTTCCACGGCTAACTGCAGAGACGCTGTGTCCTCTCTCAAACTCATTTATTTTGTGGAGCAGTCATGCTTAAACATCTTGTGGTTCATTTTGTTGTTGACTAAATGCTGTCTGCTCCTATTTGTGTAAACGGGCGCCTGCCGTAGCACATCTAACACTGACTTATTTGTGTGTGAGGCCAGAAACATAGAAGAGTGAAGGCCTTGATGACTGGAGGCAGCCGCGTAAAGTCTGCGTCTGTGAAAAAGGCTTGATCTGTCAGGAAGGCACTGGGAGATGTCAGGCCCGTTCAACAGTTAGAAAAAATGGACGCAGTGTTACTTTTTTATTTTTAGCTCAGCTCAAGGGATGATATTAAATATGGGGTTTGTGTTAAAGACTGAGCAGATAAGATAATAAGATATTTGACCGGGCTCTGGAGGCTGATGCACTTATTCTAGAGCAGTGGTCTCAGGCACAAAGGAGCTGAGGGCCACTGTTGACAATGTCATACCACTAGGGGGCCACATCAGGTATTGATATCCAGCACAACAAAAAACACTGATAATTTAGAAAGAGTCGTTTAATACTATACTGTATAACAAGAGTGCAAATCAGAACAATTAATAAATGAACAAAACAGTTAAATCAACAAAATTAAATCATTATTGACATCGAGCTGCTGGCCAGACATGGGGGCAAATGGGCTGATATTGGCCTATGAACCACACGTTTGAGACCCCTGGTCTTGAATATCTACTCTTTATGTGTATGTATATATATATATATAATTTTATTTATTTATTTAATTTAAAACCAAAAATGTTTCCTTGTCTGTGAGTGAACTGAACTGACCTTCTCTCTCTGTCTCTCTCTGTGTCTCTCTCTCATACCTCAGGACAGAGTCTTGGCTACGGCTTTGTCAACTACATCGACCCAAAGGATGCAGAGAAAGCCATCAACACATTAAATGGACTCAGACTTCAGACCAAAACGATTAAGGTAAATTACACCCAAACAAGACCAAAACAATTCTGAAGCCATAGCAATTATAGAGTATGTGACACAAAATAGGGATTTATCTGTACCAAAGGCCAAGCTCTGAAATCAAAGACGTGGACGGTACAGAAAGCAAACACTGTTTACTTATACAGCTATAGTGCCGCCGTTTAAATGTAAGAGGTTTGATAAATAGCTAGTTTAATCTTAAAGGTTTGTTGGTCAGGTCACTGCCATGACTCCATGTGTGTCTCGAAGACTAAACATTCAGCCTTAGGCAGCAGTTGTGACAGAAACACATCAAGTATATTTTCAGGACTTCCTTTTCCTTCTGCTAATACAGCCCTGCTTCTAAGACGGGCTCTAATATGCTGCTGAGTGCTAATCCTGGGATTCTCACTTACTGTATATTTGATGTAATCTGATCTAATCCCACGTCAGCGAGAGGATAGAGCTGGATCTGTGAATGGGGTGTGTGTGGTTGGTTTCCCCTGACGGTGTTCTTCAGTCTAGTTGGGCCTTAACTTAGCTCACGATCCTATCGTGGAATAAACGGCTTTAATTCAATGACAGAAACAGAGGAGTGTTCTGTTACCACGTTCGGTTACGCTGATTGGTCAAAATTAGTGCATGTACAGTTTTTACATTTCTGGGCAACAACATAGAAACTATGAACAGTAACACACTCCGAGGGATTTTCTGTCTCTCTATTTTAATTGACATTGATTTTAAAAACATAACCTCTAAATTCCAGATTTAGAATTTCGATGTGGTTTTTAGACCAAAAGTGTCAGGCATTTTTGTCTGTGTACGGCAGTACTGTGGGGGTTTGGTCGAGTACTCAGTGTTAAAGTGTGGACATTAGAGGAGCATGAGCTCCATTAAACTTTAAACAGCTTCTTGTCTGCATTTTTCTTTTCTTTTTTTTTTCGTTGCATAATTAAAACTGTTAATAAGCCGAACTTTGAAGTCGCCCCAACAGTACTCTCTCTGGATGTTGGCAGTGATAAGTCATGGATGTTTAATTACTCACTGAGTCTTTTGGAAACAGGACGCATGTAAATGTCATCCTGTGACCGCGAGATTTAGGATAAGCTTCGAAATGGAGACTAGCCTTGTGCTATAATAAATTCACAACTATATTGTAGAGAAAATAATATATATATATATTTACATAGATACACATACATGTAAATATTTACACATATATGCATGTGTATGGTCGTGGAGAGGTACTTTTCTCAAACTTGGACAAAAGCAAATTCAGTCTCACTCTAAAAAACAGTAGACGTTGCCTTCAAGTACAAGTTGCTGAGATGAAAGAAACTGTCTTTTCTAATGAGAGAAAAGATCCTGGTGTCTTGAAATTCCCGTCAGGTAACGAGCTAAATTGAAAAGGCTTCACAGTTATTCTAAAATTGGGTTTGTCATTCTTCATGTCACTTCCTTTCCTTTCTTTGCTGCTTCACAAGTGAGGAAAATAGAGAGAGGGGGCCAAAGAGAGAGAGAGAGAGAGAGATATCACATGTTGTAAGGTGATGTGTGTGTGTGTGTGTGTGTGTGTGTTGATTTCCGCTGCTGTGTTTTCCTCCTCCATGACACCTCACATTAGTCATCCCTGGATGTGACGCTGCTTTTCTACTGTGGTGTGAGCAGAACAGCAAGCCGGAGGTTGAGCAACACTCACAGTCAAACACACGGCTGTAACCTCGTACACGTCTGTACGTTGTACATGTAAACACTTTAATATACACCTTGGCAGTTTTTTTTTTCTTTGCACTCACACTCACACGTCAAGACCCTCTTCGGTTTCACACATGTGCTACAGTGGAGGGTAGAACTGGAGGGTGTGTTGATGGATTAGACATCTGGAGTTGTCTGACAAGGTGGGAAAATGAGGCAGGAGCTGCATGGAGGTGGGAAAAGAGGAAACGGAATCTGAAATAGAGATAAGAAAACATTTAGAAAGGCAGGAGAGGAAAAGGGATGGAAAGAAAAAGGAGACCAGGATTTGTTACAGGAAGGAAACTGGAGAGAGATGAGGAGAGGAAGACAAGCTAGAGATTCAGGCAGAGGGGCTGAAGATGAAGATGAAGATGTGAGCTGTGTCCCATTCTTTATTATTCTACAGTGTTCAGCAGAATTTCCCTGCTGTTGCTCGAGGACACGGCTGTATTTGTAAGAATATTTGCCAGGATTTAGGCCTGTTTGATAACTTGGCAAGTCAGATGTGACGCAAGGAAAGCTACAGTCAGCTCCACTCAGCAGCAGCATTAATAAGAATTACAAAACTTGGGCCAAAGCTGGATCAAGTCTGGATAAAAAAAAATCTTAGCTGGTCAAAACTGCAGTTTACAGTAAAAGTAAAAAGTAACTTCTAGTTCTTTCTCTTAGATTAGCTTTAGCATTAAAACAACAACATGTTCACAGTGATTTTTTTTTTCAAAATAAAATGAACTATAAATTCTACAGCACCAAGTCACACACAGTGATCAAAGGTTCCAACAGGGGACATGTGATGGACATAAAGTGCTATAATTTACCCACATAACGTGTAGCCATTTAGCCTGGAGCCCATATCCTTTATATGTGGAGCCATGTGTCCTCCACCAGGCCACTGTAAATGCACACCTACAGACACCGCCTGGGCATTTATTAGCACACTAATTGCTAACAGTGGTTTACAAAGCGACAGCACGTTCCAGTATTTCTTAGCTTTACTGTGTGTCACGATTGAAAGAGCACTTGTAATGAAGAAGGTGAGGACAAGGACACAACATTCTGCTAATGTTGAACATCTGTTATGTCTGTGTTTAGGATGAAGGGTTTTCTCCCCTCCTGGGCGATGACTCACGACAGACAAACTTTCCTTCTTTTGCACCAGGTCGCCCCCCACACCACCATCCGAACAACGACACACTTCGCCCTCACATCTTACTTTAACCATGTTTGAATATTACTGCTGATCAACAAACACCTAAAAAAGTACAGCTGTATGGACTAACAGTGTGAACATTCTGTTTTGGAACGTTAACCAAATAAAGTGCTTATTATCAGTAAAATCTCAGTTAAGGTCAATATACTTATTATGTAAATCACAATGTAAACATGACATAATTCAATCAATCAATCAATCAATCAATCAAATCAATCAATCAAAACAATAAACCAAACTACAGTATTTGCCTCTGACAGGGCATAAACATTTAATCAAATTTGTTAGAGTTTTAAAAAGAGTACATCCAATTTCAGCAATACTTTAGTTGGACTTAAAGTACTCCAGTGATACCTCAGACTTAAAGTACTCCAGTGATACCTCAGACTTAAAGTACTCCAGTGATACTTCAGATTCAAGTTACTCCAGTGATAAGAAAATTCAACTTTGTCAACGGTGGTTGGACAAAACATATCCTGATGTGCCATTGAGCAACGGACTTAAAACAGAAATTTGATTTTCCCCAGGTGTCGTACGCACGACCCAGCTCAGCCTCCATTCGTGACGCCAACCTGTACGTGAGCGGCCTGCCCAAGACGATGACCCAGAAGGAGCTGGAGCAGCTCTTCTCCCAGTACGGACGAATCATCACCTCCCGCATCCTGGTGGACCAGGTCACAGGTATCCATGGGGCAGCACCTCCTCTCTTTTTAAACACTAACGTTTACACGCCGCCATCACATACTGTACACGCAAATGTACTTGGGTCCTAATGTCTATTTATTAGGACAGCTAAACAACAACAGGACACTAATGGTTAATCCTAACCACCAGATTAGCTTTAATCCCATCATCATCCTCACTTTAAATAGAGCCTTAAAAAAGGTTCAGGTTCAATTAGAACAGAGACACGTACACAAAGATGAGGGCGAGAGAGAGAGAGAGAGACTCACTCACACTAACAGTAGAGGGTTCTTTGTGCAAATATAGCAAATGTATAACGTCTAAAGTAGGTCTCGTTCTCTAGGTGCAAGTGTTTTTGCCAAAAATGTGATGACTTCATCTTCCTTGTGTATTTTTGCAGAAAAGAAGTGAACGTTTGTGTGACAAATTAAAGCATTAAAATACTGATGAAACCATTAAACCACACGTAGTAATACTGCAGTCGATGCAGGATTTTGTAAAAGTAAAACAACAAACTTGGCAAAAATACCACTTTGTGTTTTAAACTCCTACTTGTCTTTAGGTCACTAAAAGTATTTTTAAGTACCAGTTTGACGTTTTTATTTTACTGTCAATTTAATTCTTAACTGTGGCAGTATCCTACCATCAGTGTTGCTTTCAGATAAGTGAACTCAAGAGGCAGTGTTCCTTTAACCTTGGTCACGCAGGAAGTCGACAGAATGATCACGTGTTAGTCACAGACCGTGTAATCTACGAGCTATTTAACACATTCATCACAGTCAAAACACGGAGATGAATCACGTCAGCGTGTCTCCAAGCTAAAGATGGTTTTCAGGGGCGGGTCTACCAGCTGCAACCTGCTCAAGGTTGTGTGCGGTGCGTACTGATGAAGCAGAAAGGGAACAGCATGCTGTAAGCCGCACTAATTTACCTAAGCAGAATAAATCACTGCGAGTCTGTCTCAACACACTGAGCAGAAAAAGGAGACGCTACGGGGGAAGAAACGACACGGAGCAAATTTTCAAGTGGTTGGACGAGAGGGAAAAACAGAAGAGGTGGAAGAAATGTAGGACATTTGGGTCCAACTAAACTCACCGCTCGTGTCTTTATACATGATCTTTTTACATGTATGTGTAGGTACAGCTAGAGTTTCCCAGAAGTAGGTATTATATTTTCTTAAATAACGTCTCAAGCTTTTGAAATTAATCTTCTGAAAGTTGACACATGCAGCAGACCAGAAAGTGAGCAGAGCTTCTACATCAACACAGCTCCTCAACTAAAAACACCGTCTTCCACTTTCGATTGAACACACAATATTGGTTAGATAATTCTGAACCAAGACTGACTTGGTGTGGTGTAAATACCACATTTGCACTTCTCAAGTAGTGGGGCGGGGAGGGGTGAGGTACCAGGGGGGGTATGAGGGGCTTCCAACGGAATTTAACACCCTGGACATAAGTGTACCACACGCCTCCAGTCACTAGGTGGCAGCAACTCATACAGTGGTCTGTACAGATAAAAATATACATGTTAGCATGTTCTCAATAGTTTTTCAATTCCCTTCAACGTCACATAATGCTGACAGGGGTAAATATGTTGTGTAACAACAAATATTGGTTCCAACTGATTTTACGTAACAAATCAGCTCCGAGTCCAGCCTGCGCACACACACGCACACACACACACACGCACACGCACAATTCGTCTCCTTTTTTAACTGTGGTTAAAAGAAAGTAATTACTGCAGCAAACAAAGGATGTAAAAAGTGAGTGTGGCGTGTTGGAGACCCACTGCTCAGGCTTTTGACAGAGTCTGTCGTTTCTCATCAGTAGATTTCCACCACTGCTTCGCTTAAAGAATTTGTGGGGAAAGAGAAAGAGCAGAGGAGGGATTTACAAAAAAGAAATTCAGTCTGGGCAGCAGATGAAACAGGCACAGCTGCTCGATTCTACTCTGAATTTCTATCACTGCTGAGAGTCAGGGGCAATTATTATGAACAGGGCAGTTTTACAGTTTGTATATATTTAGCTTTTCAGGTCACGTGACACCAGCAGCTGTATATACAGTATCTCTACAGACTGTAGCACTAAGTGGAGGACAACAACTTTAATGTTTGGTTGTTTTTATCATAAAAATGAAAAAATTAAAAAGTAAAAAATAAGAGATGAATTGTAGTGCAACCGGAAGTATCTGCTGGCACTGATACCTATAGATATTCTTCTCTCCTCTCTGACTTTGATGATAATTTATGCATGTTGTATTGATGCATATTCTTCACTATGCTAGCTTCACACAGTAGTCACACAGTCACTTTTTCACACCTCGTACCATATATTTACTCCCAGCACTGGCAGCCCGACAGTTCGTGCAGTCTCCAGTGTAAAAGCGTTTGTCGGTCAGCATTCACAGACTCAGTTGGTGTTAGCATGTGGTGAACTCAGCCATGCTAGCTGCTGTGCTCTGGTCTTAGACGTATATTTAATGCTCACACTCTGGAACAAAGACAGTGGCAGAGTGGGATGTTCTGTGCGATGTCCCCGGGGTGAGAAGGATCATCAGGAGAAAAGTTAATGATTAATTAGACTTCAGAGTAAGTGCTGATTAAAAACACAGGGACTGTAGAAGGGCTCTTAGAGGAGCACGCTGCCATCATTGGCTCCTCTCCTTCTCATCTGTGTTACTGTGCACGGCAGATTACATGTGTGTGCCCCGTCATGCACTTGCCAACACACACACACACACATACTGTACACACACAGACAGACGTGCACATGCAACGGCTGCTATTGAGAGAAGAAATGAGCTGCAAATTAAAACTCCCAGATGACTGCCAGCATGTAAGTACAGAATGGTAGGAGTGAGACAGGAGGGAGGAATGAGGGATAGACTGTTTTGCGGGCTGTGTCAAAACAGTTACTGCTACAATAAATAATGTACTGCGCAGGGACTCGGCAACGGCGTTGCACTGATTCCTTCACAGAATCGAATCCCGGGAGAACAAATGAATTATTTGTTACAGCTGAAGCACTTTGAGCCGTTTATTTTACTGATTTCACTTTCAAAGTCTTTGCTGACTTAGGGGACACGAGTTCTTTCTAAGATATTATTATCTGGCGGTGCAGTGCCACAGTGACTCAGTATCCCCACATTTACTGAGTCAGTGACCCAATTCCTGGCTGAAATCTAATTCACTCAGTGATTCACTCCTCCCGCTGAGCCAGGGATGGATTTTTAACACCGTCGTACCGATATTGTCTGCAGAAAACTAACAGGCAGCAGCTTTGAGGCAGAGGCACAGACTGAAGTGAGCTAAGTGGTGATGGTCTTCAGTGACCATGAGGCAGATGGCTGCTGAGACCCCGGCTATCGTTCAGCTAAACTGGGAACATGAGTCTATTCTCCAAACGACCTTCTCATCAGCACGACGCCCCCTGCAGTCACTCTGATGTTCGTGAGGACACCGTTTACTTGAGAAGGATCACTGTTGGCATCATTTACAGACATGGGCAGCTGGAAGAGTGCCCGTTTGTCTGCGACTCACAACACAAAGACAAATGTACTTGGAAACCCATCCCTCCATCTGCCTTACAGTACTGCTTCCTGTGTCCTTTTACCCTCTATTGATTCATTCAAAAAGGGAAGGTAAACATTCTTTGTCATCAATGCCAGAGTACAGGCTGTATTTCCACAGCTGCCTTCACGGTCTTTAAACCCTTAAAGGAAAAGCAGCGCTGACATGCCCCAACTAAAGACAGGTATGAGAGGCAGCTGCGGATCAATATTTGTCCGTCAGCGCTTACCTGATCAATGACTAAAAATACATTTCATCCAGTAACTTGGATTCGTCTTAAGGGTGTCTCAGGGTTTTATTTGTAATTGCTTTTCCACCCTCTTTGTAGACATCATAGATTTATTAGTACTGTAGCTCGTACGTGTATTCATAACCAACCGCTCACTACAGAACACATTTTCAGTGTGTACTGTATGTGTAACCAAATGTGTGTTGACAGCCACCAAAGTCCAACCTCACCCCTAAAGCATTTGCTCACTCCAGTGTTTCAGCAGCTTCCTAGCATTTTAACATTAATTAGCTGTTAGCAGATTCAAAAATATTTTTGATGGTTGAGAACCTAATTAAAAGTAATTTTAGTTTTTTTAAAACAAATGTGCCTTAATCATGTGCTAACTTCTTACAGTGACAACATATCTTCAGTTTGTGGGCAAAAACTAGAAGTGAAGACTTTTTAAGTTAATATCAATGACTCAAATGTTTCATAATATATATCTATGTATATTTATGTATCAAATGGCTAATGACTTGCTAACCAAAAAAAAAATCACACATTTTTAAACTATGCTAGCAGAGGACCAACTACATCTCATCAGCGGAAGACATAGTAGTTGGCCCTCTGCTAGCATAGTCTGCTAGCATAGCATCTCTGAGCCTCGTTGTGTGATTTCAGTTAAACAGTCCATCATTTCAAACATTTCAGCAAGTATAGATGTAATAAAAAAAATCCTGGATCCTTCTGGGTGTCTTTAAAGCCGACTCAGATTTGTTGTGCACAGTTTTACTGGGACTCTGTGCAGTTAGCTACTCTGCTAGGGCCTATAAAATTTTGATTATGTTGTGAACATACAACATTGATGTCACCACTTACAAAACCCTGCAAGTGTTACTTCCCTTACGACGTGAGGTGTGTTTTCTATAGAAAGTCGTAGTTTTATCAGACAAACTTAGCTCCTTTAGCGTAACACCACATGTTTATTTTTAACATATTACAGTCTGGCAATGACATGATCCACATTACTGACATCGTAGCTCAGTGTTGTTTAGGGTCCCACACAGACCTACCTCTACTGCTAGATTTGAAAAGAGATAATTGGCTGCGACACCATTTTATACCTGACTCTTTTACAGCATGACATTTGTGCATCTCAGAAAGTTTTCAATTACTAAGATGGACTGTGTGCAATAGACAGATCTATTGTCAGAT